ACCTCACTCACTGGCCCACGTCTACTTGTTTGTCTCATGCATACATGGTGAGCAGGTGCAATAATGTGTCCAAAAATGTCATTTCCCATTTCCCATGTATAACAGTGTCTGAAGGCCAGCATTTAAGAAGCTCTGTGTCCTGAACCTCTAAATGGCTCCTGTGAACCAGATCTAATCACATCATTCCCCTGCTTAAAATCCCTTGATGGCTTCCTACTGTGTATGGAGTGAAATCCAATCCTGCTGTGACATCCAAGGGTCTTCCAGCCCAGCCCCAAGACAATCTTCCATTGCCATCTCTCATTACTCTGTATAGCCCAGGTACTCGAGTCAAGGTCAAAGTGGAATTCTAACCTTCTGAAAAGAATATTCTACAAGGTCTTTTTCAAAAAACACACATGGCCCTTTCATACACACACACACACACACACACACACACACATGATATTAACAATACCAAATATACAGGGTGGTGCATAATGCTGCCATTTTCCCTAGAAAAGGGACATCTGCAAGCAGATGATTCTCAGGTTACACAAAGGAAAAGGAAGTGGTCTTGGCTAAAGGCAGAACAGGCAGGTGTGGTTCTCCACAAACCATGGGTCCAAAGACTTTTAACTCCTTCGTTCCCATGCTCTTAAATGTAAGCCTGTTCCGGTAAAGGGATCGCAACCCTTGGCTTGGTGTCGCCCGCACCACGCTCAGCCAGTGAGCGCACTGGCCATCCCTATATGGGATCCAAACCCGCGGCGGGAGCGCTGCTGCGCTCCCAGCGCTGCACTCTCCCGAGTGAGCCGTGGGGTTGGCCCAAATGTAAGCCTGTTCTAACGGCCAGCCCTGGCCTCCCCCGGCCAGATGTCCAGCCTCGCCAGCTCTTCACAACCTGCTCACAAATGCAGCCACCATACCATACCCTCAGATCCAACCATGAGTGCTTGGCTGGGATCACTTTGACTGTCACCTGCTCAACTCAAGGGAGTGAGTCACCTGTTTATACATGATGCCAGTGATCAGTATTATTAATTTTGCTTTCAGCAAATCCATAAAGAGGAAGAGTCAACAAGACCCAAGGGGAGGGAACAGGTTGAGCAGTGAGTCTCGGGTGCTGAATACTGCCGGCGGCTGGGCTGTGGGAGGAGAGGAGGCCCTGGCTTTTTAGACAGACCCCTCCAGAAGCCTCTAAATAGACCACCCTGGCCCCTTCCCCAAGTTGATGTCCTGCTGCCCGCAGTTCTTCCTCCAAGTTGCAGACTGGCACCAGGAAACCTGTGTCACTCCCAATGCACCAACTAGAACCCTAGAATATGAGACCTGGAATGAACCTTCTAGGCCAGGTTCCGGGCCAAACCGCATTTTACAGATGAGAAAACTGGGCTCCCAAAAGAGGAAATAATTCACCCAAAGTCCAAAGCCCAAAGTCCAAACTAGTTGGTGGCAGAATATGGACAGGAATAGCACTGGGTGGAATACTCCTCCCACCTCACCTCCACCCCTGCACTGCCTGAAAACTCCTTCTCACCCTTCAAGCCTCAGCTGGGGGGACACCTCCTCTGGGAAGCCTTCCTGGCCTCCCTCCTCCCTCCAGTTAGAGCTCAAGTCTCTCTCCTCTCAGAGCCCACAGTCCCTTGTCCCAGATAACGTCATTAGAGGACTTGAGTCAGGCTGGAATGTTCTGGCTCCATCTCCGTACTCGAATGAGGGAGGAATGTCTAGTTCATCATGCATTCTCAGTGCCTGGTGCATGGTAGGGCACAGACCTTGTATAATTGAATGAAATGCATGTTCTGATCAGCACCCACCACTTGACCCTCTGACTCTCTCTGTCCAAACTGCATCAAAATGACTAAGATACTCACTCTCCATACCACTCAGTTATCCTTTAGCTGTGTTCTAAATTCTTTTGTGTTGCGAGCTAGACCCCAGCAGCTGGCACCACACATGGCTTAGTTCTCCTGAAGGCCCAGCTTTGACTGCATTGTTGGTGTCACTGGGGGCTTTAACCCCATCACCCCATGTCAAGGCTACACCCCAGGCTGCCCTTCTGGGAGTGGGATCCAGACATCAGATTTTTTAATTCCCCAGATAATTCCAGTATGCAGCCAAGGTTAAGGAACACACTCCTAGAAAAATATGCCAGAAGCCGTTTGTTGATTCAGCCAATTCTGTGTGCATATGAGTGAGTGTGAACAAGAATGAGAGAGACACATGGCAAGACAGAGGAAACGAGAAAGAGCCTACTTGGTATGTGTAGACTGGGTTCCTCACCCTCGGCACTACTGACACTTTGGGCCAGATGATTCTGTGCTGTGGAGGCTGCCCTGTGCACTGCAGGATGTTTAGTAGCATCCATGGGCTCCACCTGCCAGATGCCAATAGCTCGCCCGCCACAGTTGTGACAACCAAAAATGTCTCCAGACATTGTCAAATGTCCCTGGGGATAAGGGAGCAAATCAGCCCTGCATAAGAACTACTAGTGCAGACTAGCCACCAAGTAATTGATTGCATATTTATTTCACATTTCACTCATAAGTCACAAGACCACTTCTCCAAACTGGACTGAGTGCCTGAGGATTGTGGACATTGGGGTCAAGCGTCTTGGGGAGGGACATATGGGACTGACTACACACAGGGTGGGATGGGAAGCAATGGGTGAGATTTGCAGGAGGTTCTGAAGTAGGAAGGAGTCGCAAAGAAACTGGGTCAGGTGGGTTCAAGGCAGTTTAGAGTAGTAGGTGGTGGGCAAACCTGTGAAGATGACCAAAACAAGAAGAAAGTCAGACCCTCAGTAAAATTACAAAATTGGAGGCAAGCAGAGGATTGCTGAGGATTGACGGAGGTGGTAACCAAAGCTGGGAAAAGGCAAACAGTCAGAGAAGGAGCTCTCGGAAGTTTAGCACAGGGGAAGGACCCCACAAAGCAGAGTTTTAGGGACACATGTCTAGGATGGTGTGTAGTCTGGACTGGGACAGGATGAGGAGGGGACTGGAGCAGGAAGCCAGGCAGCAACGGTCCCAGCCCACCTGCTGTCTGATGCCTAAAATACCCTTAGGCAGGGCAAAGGCCGTTATTCCAGTCAGAGTTCAGAGGAACAGGTGGGCACACTGGTAAAGAAGACATCAAGGGGCAGACTTTGGAGTCCACTGTTGCCTGTAACCTGAGCACTGGGAGCAGCAGCGAGCTCTCTAATCAGCTTTCCCTGTGACCAGCTTTCCCCAGCATGCCTGGGTCTCTGAGGAAAGGCCTTCGGAATGGCCCCTCCAGACATCATGCCAGAAGCACAGGGGCCAGTGAGAGCTCCCCACTTCCTGACCCTCTCCCCACTGCTCTGCGACCCCCACTCTCCTGGCTTCCCTCTACATCTCTCCACAAACGTCTCAGCCCCTTCACGGTTCCTCTGCCCATCTCTGGGGATTGGTGTCTCCAGTCTTCAAACCCACACCTCTTCTCTTCCAACTGCTTCTCGAGGCATCTATCGAAAGCCCAGATCTGCACTGAAAAATCCTTCAGTTGCTCTCTACTGAACATAAGATAAAGCCCAAGGTACTCAAACCTTTCTTGATCTTGCCTCTTTCCACCTCCCGTCCCCTCCCACCCCACACCTAGATATTCTGAGCCACCCTTAACAGCCTGGAGAACCTGATTCGTTTTTAAGCCACTCTGCATAACAGCTATTTGCTTACTTCTCAGTCTGCACCGCAGACTCTGAGCAGAAACCTGGGTGACTCCTCTCTGCGGCCTCAGTGCCTGACCTGCAGCTGCTACGTCATGCTCAGAGGAGTAGACACCGTCTGCTGCGTGCTGTTCTATGTGCTTTACTATTAATTACTTTATTTTATCCTCCTGACATCGTTCTTTTACAGTATTATTTATAACAATAATATTATAGTAATATAAGTAATAATATTCATTATCATCCCCTATTAATTACTTTATTTTATCCTCCTGACATCGTTCTTTTACAGTATTATTTATAACAATAACATTATAGTAATATAAGTAATAATATTCATTATCATCCCTGTTTTACAGATGAGAGTACTAAGGGCAGAAATGTGAGGAAACTTCCCCAGGCTTACAGAGTTAGAAAATGGGGAGATTCAAACCCAATCTGACCCCAGAGCCAGCACTCTTTATCACTGTGCAATACCACTTCTTAATAAGAGCCTTTTCAGTGAAATAATCAAATTATGCTCATGATTCTGCAGTGAGTGAAGGGAAATTCACTGCAGACCCTTCTGGGCCTCCATGTGGAGATGAAGTGGGAAGAGTTGAGCATGGCACCCAGCTGAAGGGGCACAGGACAGGAGCTCCACATTCCACCTTTGTGGGGTCACTGCTACTTACCTGGGTGGGGCAGAAACACCATGAATGTCAGCGCTGCTTCAGCTGTGGGAGGAGCCAAGCCTGGCCTGATCCGCATCTGGGCCAGCATGGCAGGGTCTAGTAGCATCCACTAAACTCACAAAATAAAGGCAGGAAAGGGTGCCCTGGTTCAGAAAGACTAGGTAGGTGGACACCATGAACCCACAGCTGAGGCCAAAGACCCAAATCCGAGAGATGAGATCAGGGCAGACCCCACAGGCAGCTGGGGCAGAGATTATTCAAGCCTAGACAGAGCAGCATCAGCTGAGGAGGCTGGTCCAGCTCTTCCAAGCCCAAAGAGGAAGATGGGGTTGGCATCATTGGCTAATGGGAACAGCTCCCTGGCAACCCGTTCAGGGGTGATGCTCAGCAGCCCACTCAGAATTCTGGAACTCCTACTGTCGGCCCCACTATTTCTATTTTAAATACCCTGTTCATAATAGGTGAGTCGAGCTGGCACCTCCAGAGAAGACATTGTAGGTAAAGGCTTGCGATTACACATATCCTATACCTGAGACACTAACAGAACCCCCAACTAGCAGCCCACATAGTTGGGACCAGCACCTCGTTTAGTTTCACAATGAGTGAGCATTCAAACAACCACGTTTTCTTTAAAATTGCCAAAGCCACGCACTCACCCGCATTGGCTCGTCGGGGAATCCAGGTTTGCTTGGCCTGTCCTGTCTCCGGGATCTCAGGAGCTGTTTGGCCTGCTTTTCCATCAGAATCGGGGAGGCCTCTGAAATAGTCAGGAAGGTTCCTTAGGGACTCTAAGACACAGGACTTCATGCTCCATCTACACCATCCAAAGCAAAGTATTTGCAAGTTCAATTTTGGTTAAAACACAAAAGTTCTTTCCCCGGGACCTGTCCCAAAGGACATGGCCTGCCAGAGGGCTCAGAGATGAATTTCAAATTGTTTCTAATATGGTTAACCTCAAAGCAAAAACTGCATAACTTAAATATATTTACCTATTGCAATGACCCATTCCTTTAAAAGTGGGTATTAATTTAATGAATATGTTTTTTAAAACACAGTTTCTTTAGTTCTCTGGTCTGTGTCTCTAATCCTTTAGGTTTGCTTTAGTGGGATTTTTTTTAATCCTCAATAACTAAATAAAGTTTAAAGTTGTTACTGGAAGATGCCCAGTGACAATAAGATTATGTTAAACTCGATAATCCCACTAACCCCTCAAAGAAGATATGATGATAATAAAATTATTATACTGTTTTGATAATCACACGCAAATTGTAAAAGATAGTATCCTAATAAAAGTACATCAAATGTTGGCGATCTCATATGATCTCTAAAAAAAGGTATGTTGAAGATTTATCAGCACTTTTGAGATTTAGTGCTCAAATACATTTAAAGATTTTTTTTGGTTTTTTTAAAGTAATATATCTCTAACAGTAATTCTAGAAGCCTGCTCTTACAGAAAAAAAAGAAAAAGAACAAGCATTGAAATATCTATACATTATATACTATATATTATATGAAATTTTTAAAAAAACTGAAAAATTCAAACAGACAGTTATTCCAGCTTATCATGTCAGCACAGAAAGAGGCTGTGCTTCTGGACTGAATGCCCACCTAAGAAGAAAGCCAGGAGGGTGAGACACAGCGCAAGCACAAGCGACTTCTTCATCCTGCCTCGGTTCCTCTCCCGCCTGCTGCTGAGTGAGTTCTCCCAGACTGAGCCAGCCCTCTTGAAGGAAGCCAAGTCAGGCCCAGCGCTTGTTTATGCTTTGACTAACAGGACTTACGGTATGATGCTAAACGCATCTGACTCTGAGTTTTTAGTAATGACTGCTGAGTGAGTTCTCCCAGACTGAGCCAGCCCTCTTGAAGGAAGCCAAGTCAGGCCCAGCACTTGTTTATGCTTTGACTAACAGGACTTACGGTATGATGCTAAACGCATCTGACTCTGAGTTTTTAGTAATGGCCGCTAAAATATTTTCCTCTGAATTCCTGTAAATGTTCATCCTGAGGAAGGAAATTCTCTCTCATACGATTTTCAGAGCTTGAATTTGAGAAAGCAACATGCAATGTTCATTTCAGTTACACAGATATATGTGTACGCCATAGACTCATGAATGAGTCTTTATCTGTAGCTTCAGTTTATGTTCTTGTTTCATCAAGAATTAATAATCTTACATTTGCATATTTTATGACATTTTCTCCAAAGCACTTTCGCCAATCTAATCGGATGATATTGACCCTCCCAGTAATTTCAGAGGTAGGCAGGGAGATTAACAAGGGGCAAGATAAGGGGAAAAAAATTTTTTTTCAGCTGAATTTGGAGTCAGAAAGACCAGGGTTCAAATCCTGTCTTTCTCCTCTTTTTAGCAACATAACCTTAGGTAAGTCACTTACCCTTTCTGAACCTCAGTTTCCTCCTCTGTAAAAAAGAGGTAACAGTACCTAACTCATGGGGTGTGATACAATGAGGGATAAACTACGAACGTCATGGCAGCTAGTACCAATGACCATAACCCATCTCCATTTTACAAATAAGAGAAGTGAGATTCAGAGATGTGAAATCAAGTTCAAGTTTACACATTACGAATGCTGGGGGAGAGTCTAAGTCTTCTGTCTTCAAACACAGAATGTGTGCTCCATGACCTCAGGGGCATCCCTGATACAAGGCCTCGTGCTGTATGCTGTCACTAAGACCATAACCAGCCTTACTCCAGTCTTAAGATTATTTTTATAAAGACAACAAAATCCCAACAAGCTGAAGACCTTTTCAATTCAAATCATCCATAAATATCACAGGAAGAAATTATGAAATTTTAATTACTTAATTAATTTTTAATTCTTAAAATTATTAAATTTTAAGTATGACTGGAAGGCATCTGGCATTTGTTTGAATAAAACTCTCAATTCAGAGAAATGATCTGATGTTCCTGTGGTCACTTTGCCAGCTCAAAACAATACCCTATCTGTAGTTGTCCAAGTTTATGCTAATATTGTGTAACTGATATTAAAGCTAAATGTTCTGCCCACTCAGTTGGTATAAAGATATTTTGAGCAGATTGTAAACAAGGAAAAAAATCATGCATTGTTAGCAAAGCTGCCTCGTATGTTAATTGTCTCAGATTTTGATGTTTGGTTTTATGTACTCTGTTGCTATTAACATCCTTCTGTTTTCATGTAGTTTTCAATAATTGAGGAATTTTAAGAGCATTATTTTAGGAATATGTATTTGTCACATTAAACATCTTGGGGTTTTTCTGTGGACACTCAAATTTTTTATTCCTTCTGCTCTTTGTGGTTAGATAGAACACTAGCTGTATTGTTTTGTTATGTCAAACAAACATCCTCCATGGCCCAGAGGAAAAAAAAATCTAGACCTAGGTAGAAATTTCTAATGTGTCCAATGTGAATTTACTACGAAAAAGTTTTTTTAATTTAGTAACTTTTGTCTATATCGGCACTGTCCAATAAAAACAAAATGTGAGCCACAGATGCAAGCATACATGTAATTTTAATTTTTCTAGTAGCCACATTTTTTAAAAGTAAAAAAAAGACTAAAAAAAGTTTTAATATTTTATTTAATACAATGAAATATCCAAAATATTATTTCAACATGTAATCCATATGAACAAATTATTAATGAGATATTTTATATTTTTTCATACCAAGTCTTTAATATCTGGTGTATATTTTACATTTATACATTTCAGATGTTCAGTAGCTATTTGTGGCTAGTGCTTCCCATATTAAACAGTATGGATCTAGATCCTTCTGTCTCTATTGCCACCACCCAACTCTGTCTCACCCAAGCTGTCTCTCTCCCAGCTTCCTGCACCAGGCTCCCAACTGGTCTCCCAGCTTCCCTTCCATTCGCTGCAATCCATTATCCATGCAGCAGCAATGATGGATGATCTTTGTAAAACAGAAATGGACAATATAAGTTGGACCTTGTTATATCTCTGCTTAAGAACCTTCATTATCTTTACACTGGACTGAGAACAAAATCAGAATCCTTACCAAGCACTATAGGACCCTGAGTTATCTGTGCCTCCTGCTCTTTCCAACCCCACTCTGACCACTCCCCTCCAGTATGCTGCATTCAAGCTCCATGCAGTCACCTTCAACCTAACGAGCTCTTTCCCACCTCAGGACCTTTGCACGTGCTCTTTTAATGACTGGCTCCTTCTCGTTCTTCAGGTTTCAATTTGAAACTTCTCCAGCTCAGGCAGGCCTGCCATTACCGGCCTACTTAATAAAAGTTCCCTGCCCTCCACCACTGCCATTAGTCTCCATCTCATAGCACTCATCATAATGTGTAAATATTGTATTTATTTTTTTACTTTTTAAAATCTGTCTCCTCCACTGCACTGCAAACTCTGAGTAAGCTTGTATTACTTTATAATTTTTTTCTTTTTTTTTTTTAAAGATGACCAGTAAGGGGATCTTAACCCTTGACTTGGTGTTGTCAGCACCACACTCAGCCAGTGAGCGAACCGGCCATCCCTATGTGGGATCCGAACCCGGGGCCTTGGTGTTATCAGCACCGCACTCTCCCGAGTGAGCCACGGGCCGGCCCTATAATTTTTTTCTTAAAGGACACAGGAACCTCTGGTAGGCCGGAGAGATTCTGGGCCTGTATCAAATCCTGGCTGCTGGTGCTCAGTCTCAGGTGTGATACTGGCAGGGATATTCAAATGCCCTGCAGTTTGGCATCTGGAGATATTGTCCCCAAAGTGAGTGGGGTTTGGGGGGGGTTCTATAAGAAGAATGAAAGAGCAAGGTCCCTTCTTGTGAGTGTCGCTCTGGTAGGAAGAATTCTCTTCTATCCCATGCCCCATTCCAAATGAAAGCAGTAGTCAGATAACTAGGTCAGGCTCTCAGAAGAAGGTGCAATTCCCAATAAATCCACAAGGTGGGAGAATAGAGAGCAGAACCAGGGGCAACCGAGGACAGCGGAAAGAAACTCAAGGCCACCAAGGTTCAACATGTAAGAAGTTGCCAGGGGTCCCAGTGAATCTACTGGAGGTGGAGAGGGGTGGAGAGAGAGAGTGCTGCATTTCCTGAGACTATTTCCCTATTATTTTACTTGATGCACCATTTGAAGGTCTTCATCAGGTGCTGAGGCCTAGGAAAGCTGTATTACCAATTTGACAACATTTAAGAACATATGAAGGAAGAATGCTATCGGCCATATTCACAGCTCCTGAACATAACTAATATTTTAATTTGTGTGATCTTCCCATATCTTTTTAGAAGGAATTCTCAAATTACACAGATATTTAAGGATCACTGATAAAGTCAACACTATAAGTTTCTCAACATCATCACACTGGACATTGTTTTCAACAAGAAAAGACAGTGATTTCAAATTCTGTGAGCTAAAGAAACTTCAGAGCCTAGGGACCAACACTTTTTTTGACTACAGAAAGATGCTGAATCTGTCCCACCAAGGGAATTGTAATGTGTCCACATTCTTTAGGCCCAGGCTCAATTAAACAAATTCTAACAGTCCTTCCCATAGTTGTTTTCATCTTTTTTATTATCTGCCTTTCCAACTAGACTATAAACTCTACATTTTTTAAAAGGTACAAATAATTATAAATTTTAAAGCAATGATAGTAACTCAGCAACTTGCATGTAAACAAATACACACATTTATTTAGAGACACACTAGAAGGTGCAATTCCCAATAAATCCACAAGGTGGGAGAATAGAGAGCAGAACCAGGGGCAACCGAGGACAGCGGAAAGAAACTCAAGGCCACCAAGGTTCAACATGTAAGAAGTTGCCAGGGGTCCCAGTGAATCTACTGGAGGTGGAGAGGGGTGGAGAGAGAGAGTGCTGCATTTCCTGAGACTATTTCCCTATTATTTTACTTGATGCACCATTTGAAGGTCTTCATCAGGTG